GCGTACACCCTAAAATCAAAATAGAAAACCAATACAAAAAATGGTCGTTGGAACTTCAAACATCAAACTTAGTACTCTAACAGAGATCGGCAATGCACTTCCTATCTTTGCTTTAGCCCTAAGCTTAATATTGTGCTAATCCACACGGACAAGAAAAAGAAGGATCCCTGACAATGAATAAGAACATTTCATGGATTAAACTTACAAGAAAAACAGCAAGATGAAAAAATATGGAGCTGTGATGACTATCATTAGTGTTTTCCACGTCTGAACGAAGATGGCTATAACACCAAGGATGACAACGCCTACTGCATATAATAGCGAAATTGCTATACCCGCAAATGGACGCCATTTTGGGCCTACAAATTCTGAAATTAGAACGATTGACTGTACATAAGTTCCAGGTGTGAAAAACCCGAATACTGCTCGTGCAAAAATGTAGAACCAAATATTTGGAGAGAACGAGCTGATGAACCCAAACAAAAGGATAAAAGTTGTCGATATCAGCATATTGATTCTTCTACCATACCTAAAAACAAGATCCAAGTTTTAAGCAAAATGTTCAACATTGACAGCGATAATGAAAAGGGCTGGTGCAGTATTGGAAACACAGAATAAAACAATAGGACTGAATGGCTGGGCCACTCCTTCTTTTGGGGACACGCTTAAGAGAATAATTTGGCACACCTTATATTGCCACAGGATTTCCTTCTCTTCAAAAATTTTCTACGCTTATCAAGCACGAGAAAATGGGTCGTTAGAAAAAAAAACAGACATCGTAAAACCGCTGAGGTTTCCATACATTTCGTTACAATCAATAGATCATCAGATTCATTGTGGACCAAAAATGATTCAGTTTTCCAATTACTTACCTATCTGACACCCAACCAAGAATGACTCCTCCAAATGCCCAGCTGATAAAAACTGAAGATGTGGCCAAGTAACTGTACATCTCAGTGTCACAGTACAGATCGAACTGAAATAAATGTTCATTTTAAATTTGAAGTATAGAGTAAAACCTTGTTTGTAAGTGCCAGCATTTTCGGTTAACCCTATCTGGGCCAAGCTTTTTTGAGCATCCTCAGGCTAATTTAGCCCTCCTTCATCATTTCTCCAGACTGGTTAGTAGTAGTGGGTTAAGATTTATATATGATTATATCCTTCTACTAAAATGGAAAATTTTCATCTCAATTGACTTCATAATGACATCATAAATCTTGGTAATTTTTTGCTATATCCCACTGAGAAATTCAGGATGAATCAAAACAAATCAAATATTATTTAGTAAGTAAAATATTACTCTGCTTACGTTGGCAATTTCTAAAGATAGTTTTTGAATTTTAACATTGTAATAATTATATTTGACAATGTAGCCAATCATTTGACGTTGTCTAAAGAGAACTCTTTTATTGCCACGGCAACTGTGAACAATAGCATCACTGCTCAAAATTCATGTTTGCATAAAAACATGAGAGAGGGGCTTAATTGGCCCTCACCTTTCTGGTTCAGATATTGTTCAGCGTAAACGGGTTCTTTAGATTACTGCTGGCTAGACCTTGTTTAACCTGAGTTAATCCGGAGGATCGTAGCTTTCATAATGGTACTTATCATTCATTGCTGCTTGGCCAACAGAAATGAGTGAGGGCGGGTAAAGGTTACCTAGACCACCGTGGACCTGCAGCAATAATTTCATTTGTTATTGATATGTATGAAAGTTAAACCTTTCCACAAATAATATTGTTCAAAAGGTCAACTTGCGTAAAATCATTCAATTTTTCATTCGCTCGGGCACGGATCCAGCGCAAATTTGAAGGAGGGGCAGTTGGTAGTTTGGGCGCTGAAAATTTTCAGAAATTGTTGACGAATGTAGGCTGTATAGAACAATTTCAGACCCTACCTACTGGCAGAAGGCTCTCTATTCTCCTTGTCAGGAAATTATTGCAGTTTATTTTGTATACTTTGAGGTAATCCTTGAAGTAAATTAACCTACAATTCTCAGTAACATTTTCACGTGATTCTCATTCTTCAAAAGAGGCTCACAATTTCCAAAGTGAGGTGCCAGACTTGCTTCAACTCGATGAGGGAGGGGCAACTGCCCCTAGTTGCCCCCCTTTAATTCGCAACTGCGCTCAGGCTTTTTGTCATTCTTCTATAATGTATAGCGAAGACCTGATCCAGAATGATCTCACTTTTTACAAAACAAAAAAGCTTATTTGCAACATCTTTAGTTTGACCCCAAGTTACATGTCCATTTTGTACTCATGGTTGGCAGTACTTCTCGACATTACTTCAATTTTCACGAAGAGTGACACCCTCTCTGATATAGGCCAATAGGCCAATCACACTACCACCATTCATTTCAAAAGTATATGAGGGGATAGCAGAAGCTGAAATGAAGCCATTCGCTTACTGCTTTCTTAACCTCTTATCAGGCAGCTTTATAGAGAACTGCAGCACCAAGCACGCTCTCTTGCGAATAATTGAAAACTGGAAACAGTACCTGTATAAATCGTGATCTGCAAATTGCCAAACTTGATGCATATGGTTTCACAAGAAAGGGCTGAATATTACTCATAGTCGCTATCATGAGAATAAACAGCGAGCAAAAGTAGATGGGTACTAAAGCTCCTTTGGGTGTACCACAAAGAAAAAGACCACCTTTGGGTGTACCTCAAGGATCTCTACAAGGGCCACTTTTGCTCAATGTCTAGATAAGCAAGTAAACGTTTATCTTTGTTAGAGACCATATAATATGCCACTGTGCAGATGACACCATCGTTCATTTATAGGATCGCAAGCACTAATGCATTATCAGAAGGCTTAACCTATGATACCTCTGCCACGATTGATTGGCTACGAAATAATCTCATGAAATTGAATGGAAATTATTGCCGGTTTATTCACCAATCAAGATAGTGACTTGTCAATCAAAATGTCAATCTAATCGCTGATTGGTAAAATACAAAAAAACAGAGTCCTTTTTCTTCTCACGTTACTTTCAATCAACACCTGGGAACCCGTCCAAAAAAGTTAGAAAGGGGGCAGTGCTGTAGGGAGTTTCTAAAAGTCACATCCAGGACTACGCCCATAGCCACAACCAGTATAGTTGCATTTGTGTTAAAGGTTCTCTGTTGGGTAGATGAAACCACTCAAGCAAGGTTTATTTCAATTAAGTCTAACTTTGCAGAAAAACTTTTGCAACTCGGCCTGTCCACTATTTTAGTTTGCTACATTCCATATGAAAATTGATGTTGCATACTGATTGGCCAATTTGTTTTATTCATCTGTTATTTCTATTGGGGTTGTTAGTTCATCATGATAGTTTTAATCATAAATTGTTAAGAATACTATTTGTGGAAATAATGACCAAAAGATTCTCCATTCCGAGGGGCAAATCACCCCAAGAAAATCTCGTACACCTTTTGTGAAAATTCTATTGTTTATCTAAAAATCCTTAGAAATCCTTTACTTTACAAATGAACTTAAGCCTCCAAATTGAAAGAAATTAGGAAAACAACACAATTCTTGATTCAAACTAACTTACCTACTATACTGAACTAATGTTTTTAATGTCTTCCTGAAAATTCTATTTAGTTATGACAGAATTTTGTCTAGTACAGAAAATACCAACAAACCAAAACAGCGTCACAGCTATAAGACAAAAGTTCATTTTGTGATGTAACAAGATAAATTCTTAGTAATAAGAAAGGCTCATTCCAAAGGTTCATCAGACTGTTTTTCATTAGTTACAAGCCTTAAACTTTTTTACTCAAAAGGAACACATCAGTGGCAGAGGTTGGCCACACCTACATTATGAAATTTGAGAGGATGACCACTGCTATATGGCTAGCTACACACTTGGCTGCCCCTCCCACATCTCCCCCAATTTTAACATGGAAGGCTAAGCCCCTCGAGCCTCCTTCTCTTCCACGGTGTTACTGCTTGGATCATTATTCGATGTTTAAATTGTGAAGATTGTCTGACGAAATGTACTTAAGTTAGCCATGTTTCCACTATTTCGTGCCCCCATCAAATTTTGCAGTACCAAAAACTTATTTATCCAATTCTAAGTATCAATCTAATCTTGCATATGTATTGTTAACATGTAAATGTACCAGCCTACTGTAATTAGATCAATAATAGAATGATAATCATAACTTAGTTAATGCCATCTCGCCTGATCGCAGTTTCCATGGAACACCCTTTGCTTTTGATCATCAAAAGAAATTGAAATTGCTTCTAGAACGAATGAAACTATCCACTCGCATAAACTGCTACACAATGTTCAGTGCAGAGCTATTGATTTTGATGGGTTTCAAATAAAAAATTTGGACTTCAACCCTCTTTCACCATCACCATCATAAACACAAGAAATGGAAACATGATATTATTCTGTTCTACATTTGGAACAACTAACATAGTTGCTCTGAATTAGGGTTCAGTAGGAATGAGCTGGTTAAGATTTACCTGTGTGACTATTGAGTATTCTTTTGGCTTTGTGAATTCCCATTCTGACCTCGGCATATTGCATCGGTATTGATAGAATCGGCTATAAGAATCAAACGTTCCATTAAGACGGCAAACTGTACTGTTTAAAAGGCATGTCCACGGAGGACTGTCTTGCGCAAAGTACGGGACGAGTATGAGCATTGAACTTGGAATTACCATAACACAAAATGCAACTTCTAGAAGTATCTGAAACTTTCCAAATTCTCCGATGTATGGCAGAATCTCATCCATGGTCAACGGTTGTGTAGGAGTATCGACCGGTGTTGTAGCCATTGTGTTTTGATATTTGGTTCTTGGTGGTATGGGACAAAACCACAATCACGTTCTCTATATAACTTTGCTTCGTACAAAACACATTATTGTACTTCAACCCGCTCAAAATAAAGAGATTTTCATTTGATCCCAGGGCCGTCGCTACGGGGGGGTGTGGGGGAGGGGGTGTGACACCCCCCAGACCCTAACCTTGTCGGCAAATTTTCGAAAATGGAAGTTTTGTCGTCAACTTCTTGGAAACTGGCAAATTTTCAGAAGAAAGACAGAGAATTGTGCCATCTTCAAATACATATTATCGGTTGTTGATGACAGCACCAGTCACAGTTGAAATTTATATAAACCTAACGAGAATAATTGATGATCGCTCAAACTCTCTCGTGCTAAAGGCCAGGCGCGGTCTGGCCCGGGTGGCAAAGTGGCGATCCCCACCGGGCCTCAGACATGTAAAGTAAAGAAAATTACGGGCCCTTTCTGCAAAAGTTGGAGTGGAGAAGATAATTTTCATAAACTGGAAACCAAAGTCACAGCCAAGGCCCCTAACATGCGTGCTGGCTTCACAACTAAACATCAGAATGAAGTCTGCGCGCAGGCCAAAGGGCCCCACTATGACCAACATCAACTATATAGAAACTCTATTTCAAATTTCGCACAAAGGCAAATCTGTCCTACTTCCTAGAGAAATAATTTAAAACTGTATGTAGCGATCAAGGAGCTGTTGTTTTTAGTTAGTTGTCTAGAGTCGCCATTGTTATATTTTTAGCTAATAATGACCTTCCACAGAAAGTTGCGCAGAAAGAAAGCTTCTCAAATTGGGAAATTTTTGGAATCAACTTTGCGAAAGAAACGAAATAGGAGCTTTGCAAAAACAAACTTTCGCGTTTTAGAGAAAATGGACTTTGCGTGTTAAACAATTCTATTCAATTGAGGTTTCCTTCTATTTTTATTCCACAGGATACCAGCAAATCACCGAAAAAGATATAAAATTTGTCCAACTAAAAAATTCTTCGTCAAAGTTTTAGAGAGGATCACCAGCAAATTTTTCTAGATATATCACAAAAATAAATTTTCGCATATTTAGTATTTCAGGAAGTTTTGCGTATCAATCATCCGCGATTTTAGGCCATAAACGCTAAAAAACGCAAAGGTTCCTTCCCTCGCAAGTTTCTTCTCGTGAAAATTTCTTTCTGCGAAAATTCCTTTCCGCGAAAGTTTCTTCCTTGAAAGTAGTAAGCAACAGTAAAAGACCTTCCCCTGCTGCCCTTCAAGTTTTTCTTTTCTCTGCAACCCTCTGCAAGGTGCATTCTTAAAAGTTATAATGAAGTTTTTCTGTTTGCTAATTGTTAAATGAACAACGTGTTTAAAATAATAAAGTTTGATATAGACTAAGGAATCTGTATCGTTTTAAGTTTTCTCAATGATGTTTTAGTGTGAATAAGTTTGTAGGTCACTAGATTTCAAATTGTAGCCAAGATACTAACCTAGACAAATGAAAAGATGACACATAAAAGAAAAGAACATGCAGGTTGAATTTTTGGTTATTTTCTCGGCTCGAATATATATATTAGGTTTCGCTTGAAAATATTGCAAAAATTGTCAGACTAGGATTGGTATTTTAAACTGTTTTTAGAGTTTCTTAGAGTTACAAATAGAACCATTGTTTTGCTGTTATTGTGCAGAGTTTAACTCCATACATAGAATCCTTGATTTAAATAGAGAACCACAACCGTCAATAATTGATTTGAACTGAGCATATTTTAGCCTTTTCTCGGATTAGTTGGTGTGGCTCAAAAAAGTTTATCCACCACACCCTGAACCGGGACCTTTTGGTTTGCTGGCTACCCTGCAATTATGACACTGAGCAAAACTGAAATATAGCAGTTCGCGAAAAAATATTCGCGAGTTTTATCAATGATAATTAGAATCATTTGAGAACCACGCCTGTATCTGTTGCCACGCCAATTTTGTCGGCAAATCACCGGTTTTGCAACACCCCCCAAATGCTCTGAAACCCAAATGTCCCCAGATAGATCGATAGAAATGTTTCAAGGTTTGTCAAAGCCTGCAAAACAGCAGCTCTTGTGCAAAACAGATCCAGAAGTCTTGGGTTCGGGTTTCAGCAAAAACCAAACTTTCGCTTGAGAGAGGAGAGTGGCCAGCTCATAATGATTCCAGGCAAAGGAATTGAAGCAACGTTGAAGAGAGCGATCGGAAAATTGCTCGATAAACAAGCAACAAATACAACTAACCCGCATTTTCTGTAATTCCATTGTGCAATCGCACAGCAGTGGAATGGTGCATTTTATAATTCGTCAATTTTGTGACGTTGCCGAGCCAAGTTTTATGCGTTTTTGAGAAACTGGCGGTATGGCTAGATATTTTCAAATGAATTAAAATGTGTTTTACTTTTTAAATTTTCAATGTTATAATTTGCTTGTTGCTAAGAATAATAGAGTGCCGAAGTGTGACGTCATCAAAAATCTATTTTTAGAATTTCTTGAATTTGGCCACATAATCTGAAAGAACGGCATAAAATACCTCTCAATATGCAAAATTAGTTAGATATGTTCCAAAGTGGGCGAGATATGACCGATGAAAGATTTCAAGTTTGCTAACGGGTTACTGTTATTCTGGCCTGGTTCATAAAGTTATGAAACAAGATAAAATTACATAGGTTTGATGGGACAAGAGCCTGTGCTCAAGTGGCCATATCTTAGCCAATTCGTAATGCTTTTAACTGACTTTGCATATTTAGAGGTATTTCATGATGCTCTTTCAGGTTCTGGGATCAAAATTCAGAAATACTAAAAATATATTTTTATGACATCATCACTTCGGTACTCTATGAAAAGTGGCAGTTCTTGCGATTAGAAAAGTGTAGGTTTTAAATTTTCTGCAGACAACAATGATAAAGGCCGCGAATGCTTAAGCCAGTGCAAAAATAGAAGAATCCTTTCCAGATGGACGGTTATTAGCATATTCTGCCTCTAGCAGGCAGGGGCGTAACTTGGCCAATAGGTTTGGGGGGTGAAAAGGGTTTCTGCCCTGCAAAACTGAGTGGTGCCCTGCAGACCTCGTAGCAACGATTTGTCTATAGGTTACTAGTGAAAGCTTTACCAGTGTACACTGGTCTTTACCAAGGACAAACTTCTAAGCAATAAAAACAAACTTGAAACTTCATTGCCTATGAAATATCTATTTCTCTACGTGAGCGTAAATTGTTTTCTTATATTCACTTCACTTAATGTTGGTTTGCAAAATTAAGCTAAAAAAAAGCTA